CTCTACTCTACTCTACTCTACTCTACTCTACTCTACTCTACTCTACTCTACTCTACTCTACTCTACTCTATAAGAAGTGGTAGTGTAGAACAGTAGAATTGACCTAATTGAAAATCTGAAATTGTGAACACAGATTGTATCCCCAAATTCTGCGGCTACATATCAAATGGTATAAGTTTTCTTCAAAAAGTGGGTAATCTAAATAGAAAAAAGCTCCATTCCAAAAGATTAACGGAGAACTCTTCATGTTTGGTAAACAAGACCCTGCTCATCTCAACAGTTCTTCTTTGAGGTTAAAGGATTCACATTACAAGGGCTGAAGTGGAAGAACACAGCAGATGTCACTTATTCAAGTCAAATTGTTTTACATTTTTATATACAGCCACCTGGCAGGGGCTGACCTCAAACGCAGAGTGACTGCTCTGGCAATCACTGGCACTTAACCATGTCAAAATGACAATCAGCTGAAACAGAAGTGACCAGGCTGGCCCATGGCAAAATGCCGAGCTCTGCAAATTTGCTCCTAGGGTCACCCATCATTCCTCATGATTGACAGGCTCTTTCCCCCCCTATTTGAAGCACCTGGCTTATACATATTCTTATCTTAAGTTATTCTATCTCAGAAACAGGGATGCATTCAAAACAAATGATATTGGCAAGTAGGTTTTCCTATGCTGGAACTACACTAGAAGGAAGTTTAGCATGGTCCAAAGAGGTAACAGAATATTCCAGCATTCTTCAAAACGGTTGGTTCTTGGACTGACCAGTTTTGCACACAGAGGAATACGGGAGGCATGGAAAAGAGAACTAGAACTCAGCTTTACACCATGAATTCACATCCATACCAATGAAAAACTATATTTTTATTGATTAGTTAATATTAACAAAAATACCAACATATTTATATAAAATTTAACACAAGTATCTATTTTTTGCTTTTTAGGAAAAGCTGGAAAGATTTAGATAATTGCTAAGGATATTCTATTAAAAACAAAAACTTGCTTTGTGTGATGTGTTCTTCTGTTGTAATTGTTCTAAGGCAGGGGTCAAGCTTGATTTCATTGAGGGCTGCATCAGGGTTATATTTGACTTCCAGGGGTTGGGGTGGGCGTGGCCAGCTCAACGTTACTTGTGTTGGGGGTGCCTATGGCGGCCTGAGTGCTCCACCAGCTCCTGAGCTCCGTTTTCAGCTGCCATGGCCTCCTGCAACCCCCTGCCAGTGAAATTGGAACTCGGGAGGGCCACATGCTGCCCTCTCAAGCTCCATTTTCGCTGGCAGAAGGTTGCAGGAGGCCATGGCAGCTGAAAACGGAGCTCAGGAGACCGTTTAACTGGCAGAAACCCTGCAGGTTGGTCCTTCTCAGCTTCCAGGGTGGCCCTGCGGGCCAGATCTAAGTACCTTGTGGGCCGGATCCAGCCCCCAGACCTTGAGTTTGACACCCCTGAGTGTGACTGTGCATCATGCCATAGGCCATCTTGGTTCCTTCCTTCAGATGGTTCTTGTTCTGGTATAGTAAAGTGCTGGACCACTCATTCTGCAGTAGACCACTGACAGGTGGTTGTAATTTAAAATGTAAAACACTTTTCCTTGAATAAGTGACATCTGTTCAGTTATTTTATTCTATGAATTCTTGGCTCCAAGGAAAGAAGATGGAAATCAGTAGGATCTTCTTTACCAAGTATGAACAGCCCTCAATACATTTTTGAGATGTACTTTGAGTACATTTTTGAGTTTTTTAGATTGACACATTTATTGAAGAAAACATATACTGTTTTGTATGAAGACAAAGCAGTGCAATTGTACAGAATGTTGGGTTATGATCTGTATTCACAAGTCAAGATTTACAATCAGTTCAAATCTACCGTCTTGCAGTATTAACTCTAAGCAGTATGAATGTCCCTCAGAATACAGCCAAGAGTTATTAAACATAGAAACACAATGTATTCTAGACAAAAAGAGATGGAAATGGCACTCTTATAATGGCAAAAAGAATGGAAGAGCATGCATCTCTATTAATTTTGCAATAGACTTAATCACCCCCCAGCAAGTTTTTTATTAAGAAGACTCAAGTTCATTAAATATTAGGCTATTGATAGTTGTTGGTTGTTTACTACTTAATCACAGGTAGCATACTTAAATACCAATTGCTAAGGAGCAACTATTCACCCTACCCACTCTTCTATTGTTTACGAGCTTCCTGAATATATTTATTGTGAGGCATAAAATGTTGGCTTAGCAAAGCTTCTCTTAGGTTCTTTGTTCTTAATTTGTACATTTTTAAAAAGAAACTTTAAATTCAAAGAGTACCATCTATCTTCTTTCTTGTCAGATGAGCTCTTGAGGAAAGATGGACTATAAATCAAATAAGTAAATTGGCAAGGTTACCAGTCTTGCCAATTTTCTGTTATCGATTCACAACATTATACTAAAGGTTACGTATTGTGTCTTGGTAAATAAAAGCATGTGGAAGAAAATTCTTATTTATAAGTGAGCTTCCCAAATTAAAGAAGGGAGGAAGAGACCCTGTAAGTAAATATGACTAAGTTTAGGATAAGGAAGTTGATTTTCCCAAGAAAGCTTTTCATGCTTCTATATGAAGATGTGAACCAAAAATGCTGATCATAATATCTCTCCAGTATTTCAAAGTTATATCTTTTCTCACTTTGCTAATGGTCAAGAGAAAGATTAATGTCAAATTGAAAAACATTATAGAAAGTCATCTAGGCCAAACTGGTGATGGTGGTAAAATCAATCCATTTCTACAGCATAGCTGGCTAGATACCATCCAAACTCCTCCTATCTAATATTTATTTATTTCTTTTGTAATTTTTGTAATTTAAAACTCTTTATTTGAGTGCCACTATCTGCTGCAACAAAAACCAAAAGTGGTGTACTATTTATGTGACAGCATACTCTTCAACAGTTTAAAAATGGCTATCATAATTTCCTAATTATCTCTTCTTAGTGCTAATTATTCACATCTCATTCTATCTTTCTGTAACCGTCACATTCTCCAGATCTTTCATCATATGTAATGTCTTTCCCCAGTACTTTCTAGTGTATCATTGTTTTTCTTCCAGATCTGTACTTTACTTTCTAGTGCAGACTTCCCCAACATGATGCCTTCCAGACATTTAGCAACAGTTAACAATGAAAAAGTAGCAAGACAGAGGATGCCAAGTTAGACTTAATACAACTTTAACAGATTAACAGAGTTGGAAGGGACCTTATAGGTCATCTAGTCCAGCCACCCACTCAAGCAGGAGATCCTACACCATTTCTGACAAATGGCAGTCCAATCTCTTCTTGGAAGTCTCAATTGATGAAGCTCTCACATCTTCCGAAGGCAAGCTGTTCCATTGGTTGGTTGTTCTCACTGTCAGAAAGTTCCTCCTTATTTCTAGGTTGAATCTCTCCTTGGTCAGTTTCCATCCATTATTCCTTGTCTAGCCCTCAGGTGCCTTGGAAAATAGCTTGATCTCCTCCTCTCTGTGGCAGCCCCTCAATTATTGGAACACTGCTATCATGTCTCCCTTGGTCCTTCTCTTCACTAGACTAGCCATGCCCAGTTCCTGTAACCGTTCTTCATAGGTTTTAGTCTCCAGTCCCCTAATCATCCTGGTTGCTGTTCTCTGCACTTTTTCTAGAGTCTCAACATCTTTTTTATACTGTGGTGACCTAAACTGGATGCAGTACTCCAGGTGTGGTCTTACTAGGGCTTTATAGAGTTGTAATAGTACCTCACTTGAACTTAATCGTATACCTCTGTTAATGCAATTTAGAATTGCATTGGCTGTTTTGGCTGCCTCTGTACACTGCCGGCTCATATTAATCTGGTTGTCCACTAAGACTCCAAGATCCCTTTCACAGTCACTGCCATTAAGCCTGGTTTCACCCAGTTTATATGTGTACTTTTGTTTTTTCTTACCTAAGTGTAGGAAATTTTGACATACACTCTCCCCCTAATTTTGATGTACACCCGCACCCTAATGTCCTACCTATTTCAGAATTGAACCTCTGGATGCTATTTCACTGCTAGAATTTTTTTCTCTTTTCTCAAATGTGCACTGAATGGTCTCCTGGGCCACTGCTCACCCACCTATCTCTGAAGCCTTTGTCAACTTTTATCGCAAGCAACAGATTTCCAGGAAGAAGCACAGCTCACATTCATCTCTTTTTTGCTCAATTGTTGTGTGGATTTCCTTCATATCTCTAGCATTAAATCTGTTGCCTGTGATGTCTCGGTGCCTTGGAAGCAGTTGATATGGGCAGTGATGAGGCACATTGGAAATACGTATGAAGCATTTGTCTGCTTCTTTTCCTTATGATGTCAGGCAGAACTCTACCTGCTTCCTGAAAGGAGAGCGATACCATTAGGAAAACTGTTAATAGCAAAGGAGATTGCCTTTTTACAGAAGCATGGTAGGTGTCACCTGTTCACATTTAAATGAAAAAGATTTTGTTTAATTACTGACTCATGACAAGGCAAAAAAAAGGAGAAAATATGTGCTTCAGTGATATTGTACATGTACTCATTGAGAAAAATTACAATTCTTCCATCTTTGTCCATTCACAAAATAGTTGTTCGCACTGGCAAGTGTTTATCGTCACTGCCAGCATCATTCCGAAATATCATAGTATTAATTAATAGCATGTTCCAGCAACATTTACTTCTACACATATTTTAGGGCAATTATACCTTAAAAATCTTATTGAAGTTTCTGTCAGAAAACCAATAAATTTCATACAATTCTTCCTCTTTCCATGTGTTCGGTATTATTCAGTTTGCACTCCTCTTGTTCTGAAAAAGACAACAAATAGATACGTGAACCCAAGGACCATTAGAAAAACCAGTCAGTTTAGACAGCAAATATTGAGCATACTGGGAGGAAAATACTTCCAGCCCTTTGGCATCATTCTTTTCTTCTTCTTCTTTTCATTCTTTTCTGATGCCCAGAAACTTTTAAGCAGTTCATTGTTTATATGACTGCTACAGTGGGTGTATCTAAGTGGAATATGGGGGCGCCACGTTCCCCTTTTTGCTTCAGGCATAAAATGTCTTAGGTTTGGATAGATTTCAATATTCTCTTCTCCATCTGTTTAGCAGGCAGGGAACTTTTGTGAAATGTTTATATACTGCATTAGCACAACAGATCCATCTTTGAAGAAATGTCTTAATTACTGCATTGTATAGATTTAGAATATGAGAGAAAGAGAAATCCTCTTCTACAATCTCTTTTCTCCTCTTTGTGGAATATTTGTTAATACTAAGCAACTTGCACCCTGTTGGGTCACCATTCCAGAGATATTTCCTTACCTAAAGAGAAGCAGAATGACCATGGATGGGCAAAAAAGCAGTGGAAATGGGAATAACTTCCAAAACCTACCTACCTACCTACCTACCTACCTACCTTCCTTCCTTCCTTCCTTCCTTCCTTCCTTCCTTCCCTCCCTCCCTCCCTCCCTCCCTCCCTCCCCCCCCCATCTCATTTTGTCATTACTTCCCTTCCCTTCCCAGCAGGCAGAAAAATGACTGCTGTTGTGTGGGAGAAGGAATGACGGATTCTGAGATTGGCTGGGAAATTGGCACAGAGTGTTGAAACTGAACGTCATATGGCTGCAACAGCAGTGGAGCAGCAATCCATAGCATTAAAGCAGTCACAACTTCCCCAAATTTCATAACTTTGGGAATCATAGATCCCAGATTTTGGACACATTCTGTAAGTTAGCCTATTTGAGGTGTCTCAGTTCAAAATTGTTGCCTTGTGGAAGCCCTGTTCTATCCAGGTAAAGATCACAACAATTAAGAGTTTTAGTAGTATATAGATTGTCCCCAATAATACAATGTTACTTCTAATTTGAATAAGTATAGAAAAACATCAGTAAGGAAAACACATGAAAATAGATAAGACATTTTAAATATTTTGCTCTGAAATGAAAACCTATGTTGCTAACAACTATAATTCACAATGGCACCGGGATTAGATCCCTGTGTAATGGGGCTGAATGAAAAATGTTAAATTTGTGGATGTGGAGCTGGGAATACAGTAATGCATGGTAATTTTTATATAGTATGAATCTGAATAAGTGACATCATTCCCATTCAGAGTTCAGCCATTTTGTTCTGCAGATTTAACCGCAAATATCAGCAAGATGAGACCTTACTGATAACTGCATTTTGCCTTTTATTTCTCATTAGTTTGTTTGCGCAGATGCTGGGACAAAGCTGGCCGAATCAATGATCTTAAACAAGCAAATGATTGCTTCTCTCCCTGGAGTAAGTATTTAAAATCCCCATTTTTCTGCGCTCTGGTTTTTATACAGAGCCAGATATAGATGTTACATTTTTCCCTCTGCGGCAGTCATTGAAAATTTACCAGTTAGTATACTGGATTACATCCATGGAATAAATTTGACAAAAATGTAGCTTGCTAATTAGCATTACAATTTTAGCCTGATTATTTATTGTTTAGCTTTTGCCAAAGGTGTTAAGATTATGGCTTAAAGAATCCCCAGTTATTTCAATAAGCACCGGTGATTGTTTTAACCTGATGAAGTAGAAATCTATTTGTGTTCATATCATGGCTCTCCTTTTAAGTACAGTATGTGTTGCAGAAGAGCATGGATTTCCCCAACTGATACTCTTCAGTTCTGGTGGAACTACCACTTCTAGAATCTCCAGTCAATTTGCAGCCATGGAAGTGCTGGCCTGAGGAATTCTGACAATGAGATTAGGGAAATCAATTTGCAAAAGGAAATCCCAAACCTTTTCAAAGTTCCGCAATTCAAATGACAAATATTATTTTCCAAGTGATGTGATCTTTGCGTTGTGCTGAAGTGAAGCATCTGGTAGAAAGGTAGCAATGTAATAGAATATGCTTGTTCTAATTGTAATCAATTGTATTTGGTACAATATAGCAAAACAATGCAATAAAGAAGAACAGGCATAGAATAATTTGTATTCAAGGGGTCAGTGCCCAATTTTTTTTAGCATCAAATTGTTCAGCCTGACAGAAGCAGCGTATGGAATTCTTCATCCAAACTGACTGGAAAATGGAGAATCGTTTGACAGGACTCTCAGAGACCTTATTTTTACTGTTTGTTGTTCTGTCAAGTAAACTGATAGGCAGAACAGCGGAGAAGACAAAAAGTGGTGTCATTCACCTTCATGTAGATTTTATATTTTATACAGAGAAGTGAGAAGCACTTGGGTCAGTCATTAAAATACAACAGTGGAAGTCCTATTGTTGCTTCCTTATTTTCCGCTTCCAACTTTCAACAGCTAATCTCCAGTGATTTTGTAAATTGAAAGTGCTGCTAGGTATAATTGCATGCCCACCATATACTAATTATATTTAATTATTGCAAAATTTATTAGGTCCCTTCTGACTTGTTTCCCCCCCACACTTCCAACTTTCTTATTAAAAATATAATACAGGGGGGCCTCGGGTTACAACAGCTCTGTTAGTGACCATTGAGAATTGCAATGCCACTGAATAAATGATACTTATACTATTACTAATGACTGATCCTTGGCATTCATCCATCACCCCCCAGTAATGTGATTGCAATTTCTTATGTTTCCTGCTGATTTTTCATGAATAAAGTCAATGGGGAATCTGGTAGAAAGTTGGAAGGGCAATCATGTGAGGTTCTTGCTTCATATCCTTCATGGTCCTCATTTAATGGCAATTGGGATGGCTGGAACTGCTATCATGCATTTTACTTTATGAGCATGTCATTTACATAACGCAAGGCTAATAGTATCTTGATTTTATTCTTACTATACAGTCAGTGGAACTATTTAGTCATCTATGAATTATTCTTAAGTGAGCAATATTCCCCTTAAGACTAATCAGATATTATACATATTTATAACCCTTAACTTATTTATTTATAAAAATTTATAGGCTGCCCATCTTTCCTCAAGGTAACTGGGGAAGACTTGCAGTCGAGCTTATTGGTTCTTTGTGTAGCTCCATTCTTTTCAGGTGCAAAAGACCAAGGCCACGCATTAAGTTTTAATTAAGATTTAAAATGGTTTATTGCTCCTGCTTATCCACAGGAATCTAGTCAACTAGTTAGCACTAGCTAAGGATTAATGGAATTCAAGAAAAGTCAGACTTGGTCTGCTTGCGACAATGTAGAGACTCTGGGCTGATTACTCTTTTGACTCCACTTCACCACCTCCGGCTCTGTCACTCTTTCCCCTAAAATTCCATATAGGCTCTTTGGACAGGAGGTCCTGGTTAGCATATGAACATGTAATGACTGAATTTAGGAATTGGTGTTGTCATTTTACATTCTAAACCAGATGTGACAATTCCCTTTCAGAAACCCTGGAGTTGCATGCTAGCAGATTACTCTCTGTTGATATGTGACATATGAGAGGGAGAGGGAGGAAGGAATGGAAGAAAAGAGAAATGTAACTTTCCATGTAAATACATTTAGCAACAGGTTTTAGAAAACTAGTTTGACATCACTTCCCTCCATCAAAATCCTGGGATCTTTAGATTTTGAGCCTTCTTCATAGAGCTCTTTTTTGAGTCAGCCCAAAGCAAATAGCTTCTTTAGTTGAGTATTTGATTGTGGGAAGTATCAAACCGGCAAACCATCTTACTGGTCTAACCTAATGATCTAACCTAGATAATTGCAATGTACTACTTATTCTTGTAGATTGGGCTATCAGGGTTTGTGTCTTTCCATTGTGATGTGATCATTTTCCAGAAGCATTATATGGATTTTTTTTAATGAAAGTGGAGAAAGTTGACTACCTGTTTTAAGGTGGGCGGAGTTCCATTGGTATTAGGTATTGGCCTGGTGTTTTATGTTATTGTGCTTTAAGGTAAAGTTGAGCATTTGTTTTCATATTTTAGTGTGGAACAGCAGCAATGGAATGCATGAGGCAGTACGTTGGTGAAGTTTTGGATTTTATTGCTGACATGCATACTTTAACCAAATTAAAGGTGAGTTCAGAAAAATCAACTCAATGTCACTTTGCTTCATTTGTGTGAAATTCTATATTAACTATTTAACAAGGAATATTTTAGTATCGTGTTTATGAAAATCTAAAATAAAAATAAACTTATCATAAAACAGAAACTGTGCTAGTGTTATGGTTGCTGAAGTTTCTTCTTCTAATGTTTCTTCTTGTGAATTCCACTATTCCATTCTGAATTATATCACTTTTCTAGCAGCCTCATCTGATGAGGATAGGAGCATTTTGGTTGTGAAATGCTCCTGTCATGGAACTTTATCTACTATCAAACAGGTTTTTTTTAGGACTAAACAAGTATCTCTATAGATAATTTTTTAAAATGGCAATTTTATTAATAATTACAACCTCAATAATAAAAAAGCTAATACAAACTAAGAAATCAAAGAAACAAGGGTAGAAAAAAGAACAGAAAATAGAAAAGAAAGAAAAAATTACAGTAAAGAAAACTAAAAGAAATATATAAAGAAATGAAACCCACTTCATTACAACAAATATCAACAACTTTAGTAACATCACTTTCTCTTAAAATACAAGTGATCACTTCTTCACATATCCTATCTCTTATCTATACACAAATCCTTAAAACCTCATCATTGCAGTACTGATCAGCAAAAGTCCATCACAGGTTACCAAATATAACATATCTATTTTAACTTTGATCAATCAAGCCAACTTTATATTATATTTAGTGTGTTAAATAATGTCCTAAAACGTGACTGTTTTTTTATTTTTATTTTATCTCTTCTTCCCAAAAACTTCAGAACTTTAATAAACATCTTCTGTAAATCCAATATAGGAAAATTATCCAACACACCATTATTTGTGTATCCCTTTTAATTGTTTAGACATTAGTCATTTCTTTTATATACCATATTTTTCCATATCATTCTTGTAGCTTATCATTTTTAAATCTACTTCAGTTTAGTCTCATGTTCCTCTTCCATAACATCATAAAACTAGTTCCTCTTCCATAACATCTTTTAAAACAGTCTATTTATGGGAGTAAAAACTTCAACTTCTGCATCCATTGTTCAAAAATATCCTTCAATATGTCCAATGTTAAAATATTTTATTCCATTCTTTACTATTAAGTTAAATTTAAATGTTCTTCTTCTTTAATTGTAATTTGTATTCCTTCTAGTTTCCTCTATTATCCAGCCTTTAAAATCCCATGTATCATGTTTTGGTTTTTTAAGAATTTAAAGCAAACACTTTTCCCACAGGAAGGATTCTTATAATTTCAAAATCTTATTTCATATTTATCTTAGTCTGTTTGTAACTTTCTAAAATCAAAGTTTTAATCACTCTTTTGCTATTTATTAAAAAAGAGTTCTTAAACTTGTATTTAAAATTTCTTTTGCTAAGGATTGTAGGGAACTGACTTGATGCTGTATAATTTTTGATCCAAAAATTCCCAATAGCTGAGAAGCAGTTAACAAGCAATTTCTGACAATGTTTTAAAAAGGACCCCTCGTCCTTAAAGGTGTCAGCTATGGTTTGAACAAGATGGTCCCTTATCTCCCACCAGTCTTGGGGCCTACTCTTAAGAAGCAATATATGGAGCACTTGTGGGCAAACTCAAGACCTCTTCTTGTCCAGAGAGCAATTACAAAGAGCCAAACTATTCACTGGCTGTTCATTCCACTGCAGTTATCTTTTAGCAAGCCATCTTCAGCTCATAATTTCAAAGTCTGGAGGTCTAAGATGCTTAACACTTCATCTTTGCTTGTTTCAGTCATGAATCCATAAAACCCCCTTTTTTTTTGCAGAGGGAACAGAGAAGAATGAATATGGTCAGATCATAAATATGGATATATCTCCTTTTTGATATCATAGCAGCAGCTTGATGTTACTTCTAGACATAGCTTTAGTTTTTCACATACCCCTTTATTGCTTGTCACCCACAAAACCACCTGTTGCAACCAGAATTTTCCGGTCTGGCTAGATCTTGTAAGGCAAAACTTTTTATAGTCCTGTGCTTCTAAGAGATGAGAGGAACTGAACCAAGAAAGCAATGTTTCTCTGTAGCAGCACTGGTTCTTTGGTATAGCTTTCCATGAAAATTAGGCTGATTCATTTTATCAGAAAAATACTAAAACTAATGTTATTTTGGAGGGCATTCTCCTAAGCTTAAGTACTGTGCCATCATTTTCCTTTTTATTTTAGTTTTTTATTTATTCTGTTAATCTTGTTCTTTTTATAGGTTCATGATCATTATTTCGATTTTTGTCATGCCGTGGGTGTTTACATTTTATCTTGTTGTATTATTATACTGTGTTTTGTGTAAGATGCTGAAAATTGCAGATTATAGTGCCATATAAGATTAATAAATAACATCAAATATTTTATCTCACATAAAACCAATATAAATATATTGTTATAGATGCCACTGAGTATGTTGTTAAAGCTAAATGGTATAAAATGAATATTCCTTCTAAACTGATATATTACTACTAGACTACTACCTTTAAATGATTTTAAATGTTAAAAAATGAGAAGAATAAACTCACAGATAATCTCAATTATGGCCATCATCACAGGAATTTTTACTGTCCTTTTAATTTTATGCATCCTGAACATGAGCAATTCATAATAGAAATAAATGAATGAATGGGAAATGAAGTGAATGTAAGCATATCCACGGAGGGAACAAATGAGATGAAGATTTTCAGAGTTATTTTTCTAAGGGCTTAAGTAACTACTTGAGCTACTTAATAGTAATGGGAAAAATGTGGAATCATTCTTATTGAAATATATAATGAAGACAAAAAAGCAAACAGAATTAGCTTTTAGCTTAATTACGTGATAGTAATTTGTAAATGGATTTCCCAAAATTTATCATCATAATAGCTCTATATTTAAAGATGTAGAGCTCTTCACCTTTAATATAAACCATATTCTGATACAATTCTGAGAATTGCAGCTCCCAACATTACTGGAAGTCCCAAGGTTGGGGAAGTTTTATGTAAATAAATAGTGTATTTTCAGTTGAATTGTGCAAGTTCCTTGACCTTTAAAATAACTTTACTATCTAACCATCCTGCCTTTCCACTACAGAGTCACATGAAAACGTGTTCCCAGCCATTGCATGAGGATACCTTTGGCGGACATCTCAAAGTGGGCTTAGCACAGATTGCTGCAATGGAAATCTCACGGGGCAATCACCGGGATAACAAGGCTGTGGTCCGTTACTTGCCTTGGCTGTATCATCCTCCATCTGCAATGCAACAAGGGTAAAAAGCCTTGGTCATGACTACATTAAAATACAAATTGAAATAGGTCACCAAATGGTGGAGCAAAGGGGAAACTTTGCACGTTCATGACTGGTATAGACGTAGGTATTCTTATCATCAAACCATGGATCCAACAGCAGAGGTAGGTTCCTACAGGTTCAGACTGGGTTGGCTGAACTAGTAGTAACTTGGCGGCCTGGGTCACTGGAACTGGTGCTGCCATCTTGTTTTTGCCTTCTGCTCATGTGTAGAGAAATTTTTGTTGCATTGCGGGCGCGGGCTCATGGCACGTCTCTGACGAACTGGCAGTAGCGGCAGCCAGAACCCACCCAGTCCAACAGGTGTTTACCATCACAATTTATATATTAGAGTGGAAGATATATGCATGAGGAACTACTTAGTCTGGTTTGACTACTAGGAAAAACTGAATCTCCTGCAAATAATTGTGTGTGAGAGATCCTAATATTGCTAAGCTATCATATCATTATCCAACATGGTCAAAAGTGGGAACTACTGGGAACTCTTCTTAAGTAGCATACTTAGCAGGAGTTGCTCTTGAAGATCACCCAACTATTCTAGAATGTAGTGGTGCCATTAGTTAATGCATAAGCTATACTACACACCTATTATCCCATTCCTTGTGATGCCCTGGCTTCCAGGAATCTTCCTGTGTAATTTAAGGTGTTGATCATTACCTATGAAGTTTTAAATGGATAGCATCCACGTTATTTGGGATTGACTAATTAATTCCACCCATCCCACAAGATCTTCAAGGTAGGCATGCTTTATTTTGAATAACATACTTATATGGGACCCCAGAAATATACATTCTGTGTCACAGGGTATGCCTTGTGAAACAGCATTCCCCACCCCCACCCAACCCAAAAAATAATTAGGATGACTCTGAACCTGTTTGGTAGCATTCCGAGTAATACCCCTACTAAGCAAAACTCTGAGGCAGATGAATTCCTCAAAGAATAGCTTTAATGGATATATCATATTGGCACAAATCTGGTGAAAACCGACTGAAGGTTCCCGCAGTTTTCACCTAATTAAAAGAGAAAGTTTTCCCACAACCCCAAACAATTAGTCACATGGTCCAATCAAGATGCTTAGTTGTCTGTTGACCTCGCTCCTCCTTCCACGGTCCAGGTGTGAGATGTCCTTGGTTCTTAAGATAAAGTGTTTTATTTTGTCTGCACAACGCCCTCTATCTCTAACACCCCCTCCAATCTGGCTCCAGTCAGGTCAGCTTCCGTGTTGACACTGTTTGATATTACATAACGTGCTTCAAACTTTATTTTTACCACAGGCATTGTGCCAAGGTGCTAGATAACCCTGTTGTATGAGCTATTGGACAGACTGAGATTGGCCTTGGATGTGTTGTTTTTCTCTGTGCTGTTTAAAAAAAAAATGTCAATTTTTACCTCAATTTCAACACCCTTGCCATGTCCTTTCACCAAAAATGATATCCCTAGAGCAGACATCTATCCCAAGGGCAGATATCCCAAAACATCTGTATTAGCATAGTAATAATGGTATATTAGTCATAAATTGATTATCTAGAAGGATATTCTTAGTATGTATGCTTTTCAAATAATACATATATTTGATAAACTTGAAACGAAAATATATATTCTTTCTTAACAGGCCCAAAGAATTCATTGAATGTGTGTCTCATATTCGACTACTCTCTTGGCTACTGTTGGGGTCTCTGACACATAATGTTGTCTGTCCGAATTCCCCTTCAGCTTGTATGCCCATTCCATTTGATGCAGGTTCCCATGTTGCCGATCATTTAATTGTCATCCTGATTGGGTTTCCAGAGCAATCCAAGGTAAGAGACTTGTGGGATGATGACCACTTTATAATATACCACTAAACATAATGTACAATCTTGAGCATGATCCCAAAATTCTTCTAGAACATGGGTGTCAAACTCGCAGCGTCATGTTGCCATCACATGACATTTCACAACATTTTTCCCTTGGTGGAGATGGGGTGGGCGTGGCCTGTGCATGATGCATCTGGCCCCATGGCCCGCCAGTTTGACACCCCTGTTCTAGAAGTTGCCGTCAAAGTGTAATTTTTATTGTGACAGATGGTGAGATGTATTAAGTATATGAAAAAATATTCATAGTCAGTCTGACCAATCTCTGCAAGCCATACAAAAGTTGAATCTCAGCCTCTCTGAATCACAACTCTTGCTACATAAAAAAGCTTATTTAGCTTTTGTGAATTAATCTGGTTAATGAAACTCATTGTTAAATTTCTTGTTCCTTAGATTCAAAGAACTATTTCCTTGTCAACAATCTATCTATCTTTTGAAAAGAAATATTTTTTTAATTTCATAATAAGCAATACTCTTCAAAAGTGCTCTTTCTTAAAGCATTAAAAAGATTTTGCAGCCTTTTATTCATGAGTAGAACATTTTTCCCTTCTTGCTTGCTATCCCAGTTATATTCTCTGCTCTAGAGTCCAAAAACAAATTTAGGAACATGTGGCCTCTCCACATTTTTCAAAGTTCAACAAGTTTCATCAGTTTAGTCATGAATCATCCAAAATCTTATTCTGCAGCCTCTCCCATCACCTTTCTGCAACCCTAGCCCACCAAACACAGATAAAGGAAACTGCAGTCTTTTATACTTGGATAAATGTCTGGCGGTATCTGGCTCTACACATCTAAACAACACATGTTAGATTTGGTTCATATGGAGCAAGTAATCTGAAGATGGATGAGCTCTGGGTAATTCTCTTATCAGGAACAGATCAGTCACCAATCAGATTTAGACTGACATCCATTATAAATTGTAGAACTGTTGAATGCAAAAACGATCATGAGTTTGAGAATTCAGCTTTCAATCGGAGATCTCCCATGAGCTTCTTTGCAAACCACTTTAAACAAGCTTTGCTTCCAAGTCTTCATCAAGTAGTGGAAGTGCTACGGGCAATTTTTCTCCTTCCTCCCGAGGTATCCAGTAAGAAAATATAAAATCTCTAGTTATGAGCAAGCAAGAACACCATGGTTTCAAAAAAATAAAAAGGGCATCGCAAGCTTGCTTAGCAAATTACTCAGCTTTTTTCTTTGGAACCTCTATTTTTAGGGTTGCATAATTACTGTCAAAACTAACAAAAGCTGTGGTATTCCCTCATTAATGAGAATTTTTCTATTATTTATTTTTCCAACATGTAGTTTTCAAGCTTGTTTATTTCTTTGCTTATTTCAGTGCATGAATATAAACTAGTAATTTAAGTATGAATGTCATATCACTCCTCTGACAGGAAAGAGAATTTCAGAAAATTCTTGACAGATTCATTATAATTTCAAATTATGTGTATGTGTGTGTATGTAGAATTGTTATGCTCTTATATTCTGAAAGACAATATGCACATTCCTTAAAGTGTTATTTCAAGCAAAACAAAGACTTTGTTTTCCTTTTATTTCTTCCCACAGACATCTGTCTTGCATATGTGTTCTCTCTTCCATGCCTTTATATTTGCTCAGCTGTGGACAGTATATTGTGAACAAGCGGCAGTTGCTCCCACAGTCCAAAATCAAAATGAATTTAGTTTTACAGCAATCCTCACAGCCCTGGAATTTTGGAGCCGAGTAACACCAAGCATCCTCCAGCTGATGGCACATAACAAGGTGGTGAGTCAGATGCAATGATCCCAACGAATTTCATTGAGTCCAAGCCAATAAACAATAATTCAAAAACCTATGGCTGTGTTTTCACATAAATAATGACATGCAAGTACATGTACATGCACAGAAATAAACTTGCAGAAGTGCATAGTTCATTAGCAGACCACATGCTTTGTTCAGTCATAGATATCTTCAGTACAGGCTAGATGAGACTTGTTAAATTCAGCTCAAAGATCTAACCTGCTATAAATGGGCTTGGAAATCCATTTAAGTTTTCTTAATCAAGAATTTAAGAAGGTGAACAATTTTATTTTATTTGGGGAAGAAGAGCTTAGAGGGAAAAATAGTACTTTAAATTATCCCATTATGTTCTGATTATACCTAATTTGGGAATGGCATCCAAAGGTTGATGTGATCCTCAAAGCATTTGAAGTCATGTGTACCTATTCTTCATTGTTTTTAATAATTATGATCTCTCTCTCTTTCTTTCTCTTCCTCCCTCTCCCTCCCTCTCTCCCCCTCCCTCCCTCCGCAATGCTATTCAATTAAACAGAAGGAAGGAGAGAGTCCTATAGATCCTTTAGTTTTATAAATTTTGTTTTTAGGTTGACAGTTAAGAATCGGGTAGCCATGGCTAAAAGGGAAAGTTATCCTACTTCTGCTATAGCTGCTCATTTATTATAGATTCTTTTGCAGGTTCACATTTATGCTATATTACTAATGATGCTTGTACAATACTTCATATAAATACAGCATGTGAAAAAGTGTGTCCTATCTGCAAAATCACTACGTGAACATATTGAGTTGTAAATAAATACCACCATGACTGGGTAGAGGTTTGCAATGGAGGATAGGCAGAAAAGGGCGGGGTCATCAATGCATATGTTATTCATTCCATTTAATGTAGAAGCAATCACTTGTCAAACCCATGGCATGAGAAATGCCTTATATATAAATGCTGTTAGACTGCCAATGGGACTGATTTAAATTTCAAATATTTCCACTGTCTGCCTGCAGTGTTTTGAAATGTAATTAACTGGTCCTTCCAAGTAATGACGAAGACAGTTCAGAAAGAAAGTAACTTTGTTAGTAATGTTATAGGGCATCTGTTATGCCAGAAGTTGGAGGACATTGTACATCGTTTTGTTACATTTTCTGTAGAATGTAATTCTGAATAAGTATTATACAGATATGATACCTTTAATTAAAGGTAAACAATTTGCATTTTAATTATTTAACATGAAATCTCAATCTCTCTCTATTTATTTAAGAATGTTAATCAAGTTAGAGTAATAGTATGAACCATTTATTTTTTGCTTTCATGATATTATTATACTGCTCATTCATTTTATTGCAGTATGTCTCTCTTTTATCCCAGATGGTAGAAATGGTGTGTCTCCATGTGATCAGTTTAATGGAGGCTTTGCAAGAATGTAATTCCACTATTTTTGTCAAGGTATGTTAGCCATTGGGTTGGGAGGGGTGGGGAGGCAGGAAAGTTTTTAAATGGCTGAAATACAAAGGGTTTTTTCATATGTACTTCCTGGTCTTCCAAGCATCCCTTTGCATTGTTCTCCGAAAAAGGCTTTTGAAGATTTATGAGCTTTCTAAAGCAATGTTTGATGGAGTATAAAGTGCTGTTGAGAGAAGCTTCACATATAAACTTCCAGTAATTAAAAAAAAATTCCAATAATTAAACGCAGCTGTTAAAATATTTTCCAGTTATATAACTTGGCTATAGTTTTGTCCAAAACGGATGCAATTATTAATAAGAGGGACAACATGTTATTACTGGTTCCTTTGTGGTTTTGTTCTAATAATTTTCGAGAAAAAGAATTGCATTATAACAAACAGCATGTTGCTAATGGATAAAAGATGTTTTGTATTTGGACTATTACGGTATATCGGGAAACGTTCTCAGGAATGCTGCAGGAAGGATTAAAAGGTTTGGCATAGCTTTCCACTTGTACCTCCCTTCTGGTTCACACTTTGGAAGAATAACATTGCTTTAGGCCATTTCCCTTTCTAGAGAAAGCCCTGCAGTCTTTTACTCACTTCCACCTAATCACAGTATAAACAAGATGTCCTGGTGATGTCTTTCTTGTGCCAGGTTCTTAAATGATCATTCTTATCACATCTCCAGTTCATGACACAAGCTTAAGGCATACTTAGCTGCACTAGTGCTAAAGTCATTAATGTTTTCCATCTTAAGCCAATAGCAACTGATGGGAGTTTCATGCCATATAAAATCTATTATGTTTTAACCCCCCCCCCCCCCAATTACTCAGGAGTCAAAGGCAGGTATTCTATAGTGGTGATCAGAACAGTGCTTAATGGTTGTCCCTCTGAAACCTGGTTACTCTTAGATGCTGACATTATACTGTTCTCCCTCTATAGAGCTGGTTTAAGATGCTGGAAGTCCAGAAAGTTAGAGGGCCACATAGTTTTTGACTGTAAGATCTCGGCCCACCAGGTTCTCCCTTCTCTTCAACCATCTCAAGGATTTTAGACTTATTGTTTGCAAATAGGTGGGTGGGGGGCATGGGGCAGGATATAGTGCTACGGCAGCTTTTAGCCTCATCCATAGCCACTTCAATAATTTCATACAAATCACGTTATGGATAAAAAAGTGGGAATATTGTAAAAACTACTAAGATTGGAAAGTTGACTTCATGGAACAAATCTGAATTGGCTTCCTAGGGTTTGGGGGAGTAAAAACAATGGCACTACGCCTATACCTTGAAATCTGTAAACGTGACAGAGAGAATTTAAGAAAGCATCTCTGGACATGTATTTGGCTCTAAATGTTTTGGTTGGAAGAACATACAAAATAGTGCTTTCTTTCTAGGAAGATGAGAATCAAAGATAATGTGCATCTACTTAAAGATGCAAGCTGACATGTCATTGCATGCTTTTTAAATTCAAGATAAGGAGCATTTGCTCACAAATACATATTTTAAGTGATTATATAAGCAAACAGTTCATGTGGAAACATTAAATAGGTACATTTCATATATCCATGAATGGGATTCTAAAACTTTGTTGGATTCATAGACACAGCTCCAAAAATAGCTGCATTACTATTTTTCAATATTTCCACATGAACACACTTATGTGATGCCTTTCAAAACTGTGTGTGTGTGCTCTCAATATATTTTTTTAAATCATAAACAGAGCAAAAATAATGCTCACAAAGAACATTTGTGAGCATAGAAACTGCCTTTCCAAATCAGATCCTCTATCCAGCATTCGTCTAGTTCTGCTTTTTCCTCAAATAGAACAGGATATTGATGGACTTACCTTGTTATTTGGCATCAGAAATAACAAGGTCTATTGCTTTGGGATCTGAGGTTTCTATTTAGTCTTCACATTTAGGAAATATTGATGGTAAATCCAATCTGTGTCTAATGAAAAGTGTCCTTGATCACAAGTTTAGATGTCCAGGTCTTCTCTGATAAGAAAGTGGGCACAGTTCCATATAATTTGTAACGAGAACTAATTCATGCCATGTCAGGAACAATCCATAAACAGTTATAATTGCATATTTCTCCAAGTAGTTTGCATTTTTTTTTCTTGCACAGTAGGAAGAAATATTCCCCCCCACCCATTTCTCCTTTGTGGATAGTTGACAATCACTATAGTTACAATGTTGTTAAACACTTTATTGAAATGGTTATTCCTTCATTGGGATTCCCTAAACAATGTCGTTTGGTGCATTAAATAAGGACAGGCCTGACCCCATCAATGGAACCCAGCCAAATATTATATCATCCACTCTGGCCAATGAAATAATGTTCTCCGAATAGTGCTTTAGCTCATTCTGTTAATACTGATTCAATTTTGCATGCTGGTGGGAGCTTAATTGGAAAAAAGTGAAACTTGATATCATTTAGAGGAACATTTTAGAACAGTATGTCCAGTTTTAAAAATAATCTTAGGTAACGTATCAAAAATATCTTCACTTTTAAAACAAATCTGACTTACAGTTAGAACACCCCAGCCTTTGACTTCCTTCCACCATCCCAATAAGAAAATAGATAAATGCATGTACATGATTATAAGATTACTGGTTATTTGTCAAAGAAGCTCACATAAATATTCAGTGCGGCAAACTCATAACTTATTGAGCCATAGTGCCTTACTTCTTGGTTAACTTCTAAAGAGTGCTATATTTTTAGGAACTATATACTCCAACTACATGTGATGTTGTTGATCATATTCATTTATTTATTAGGGATTTTTTGTACTGCCTTTATTCCTTTATAAGCCTTACATCTTCCTCCTCCCATTTTATCCACAAAAACACCCCCATGAGGAGATTTGGACCAAGAGAATAATTGGCTCACAGTCACGCAGCTAGTTTTCATGCCTAAAGCAGGACTAGAACTCTCAGTCTCCTGGTTTCTAGACCAGCAATTACTACACCAAACCAGCTCTCATGTTACTATCTATTGGAGTATGTGGGTTGATAGATCAGTTTAATATAATGAATTTATTGTACTTTTAACCCAGCTGGTTTTTTCCAGTTACTTCGGTATCTGAAATCCTGGTTCTCTATAATACTGACATAACTTCAGGCATGGGGAATCTATAGCTGTTCAGACAGCTGTTCTATTTATCATTCTGAGTCAAGATCAAGAATGAGAGGAGTTATTGCCCAACAAACTCTGAAGAGTGATTGGCTTCCTACTTGTCTCTAATGAATATCTTCCTTTTGGGTTTCTTGCTTAACTAAAAATTATCAGGAAGAAAAGAAATGGCAAAAAAATTAATTTGTTTATTATTTCAGAAATGCCGTAGTGCATGACACTTTCAGCCAAAGGCCATTTTTTTCATATGAATTTATGATGCTGGTTGACTGATCACAAAACAAAATAAAAAACTCCTAGTCTCATGAAAATCTAACTAATACATTTAAAAAGGGTTTATGAGAGATAATTACAGAGAGTGATAGAAAGAGAAGTAATGGTGTGAATCGGCTTTCAGTGATTCCTTTCTTGGCTGTCTTCCTTCATGAGTTTTGTGCTTGAAAACTCTCAATTGGGAAGAAAGAGACCGCTAGTTGATGACAGTTTCCATCAAAGTTTCCATCAAAATTAAGGGAGATCTTTCATCATGGAAATAAAAAGGTTTCAAAGCAGCATCTGTTGGCATCAGATTTATTATTGTAGTTGAATTAAGGCAACTTTTCCTAAACCTGGTGCCCACCCCCCAATGCTTGAATAATTTGGCTTGGCAATTATACAATTTGAAATCCCAAACTATCTAGTCAGTGCCAGTTTGGGTGTGGCTGCACCACGTTGCTCTCTTATCTTTTAATGTGGATGAATAAAAGTCCATTTTTGATACCAAACTGGCAAAAGTCATTAGTTACAGATAGGTGTATAACAAAACACATGACTTCTAAAAGACAATATGCAAGCCTTCCATGTCTAAGTTGCTTCCATTATTTAGAAGGTTGATTGTAGTTGTTTTCCATATGCATGAAGCCATGTTCTAGATCAGGGGTCTCCAACCTGTGGGCCGTGGCCAGAGGTGGGTTGCTATTTTTTTTACTAACAGTTCGGGCGCGCTCATGCGCACATGCGCAAAAGCATCTGGGTGGGAGGAGCCTCCCACTGCCACTACTACCAGTTCGGCCAATCTGGGCTGAACTGGCAGCAACCCATCTCTGGCCGTGGCCTACTAGTGGGCTGTGAGGGGATTGTAATCCTCACAAGCAGCGGGCGAGCACATGCAAGTTTTCCATTTGCATGAGCAGCAGGCACACGGGCATGCCACTTACATGGAATCAGCCTCTCTCACACACACCCCTTCCAGTCCACAAAGTCGGAAACATTGGGGAACTCTGTTTTACATACAATTGAACAAACATCTTTCCTTTTCCTGTCAATACTGCCATGAAGACAAAGGCCCTAATCTGGATGACACATTGACTGCTGTTGCATCATACAGTGATGACACTATACAAAGTTTACATTGGATTGTTTCAGTTGAAAAATATTTGATATGATCTATACTCTGTTTTAGATGAACGCTTAAATATAACATTTTAAATAATTGTTGGTACTTTGAATACTTGATAAATAAAAACAATTCTAAATGTGTACTTGAACAGTAAAATATATTGGAATCCTGAACATTATTTCTAGGAAAATGCTGCTTATGTACAATACAATACAATACAATACAATACAATACAATACAATACAATACAATACAATACAATACAATACAATACAATACAATACAATACAATA